TCTGGCCTGTTGTCAGCCCAGTGGGCCACTCCCTGCCACTGTCTAAGGGGTCTGTGTGGTCAGTCCATGATTTATATGACACCCTTTAACTTGTAAGAGCCAGACTAACCTGTTTGGTCCTGGGATGGCTATTCTTGGTTGTCAGCCTGACTATATCTGGAGTTAACTAATAGCCAAAAATGGCTGAGCACACCTGTGAGAGATTTTTGCTTAATTTTTTTTTTTCTTTTTTTGAGGCAGGGTAACGCTGGCTGTCCTGGAATTTGCTCTGTAGACCAGGCTGTCCTCGAACCTGGACATCTGCCTGCCTCTGCCTCCTGAGTGCTGGGATTAAAGGCGTGCTGCACCGCTGCCTACCTTGCTTCATCGTTTGAAGTGGAAAGATCGGCTTCTAGACTGGATCTTTGAGGTGGGATAGCACCATCTCTTATCTGGGCCACACCGTCTGCAGTCAGCCTGTATCAAAGACAGAAAAGAAGCAAGTTTACTGTCTTTGCCTGCTCGCTCTCACTGTTGCCAGCAAGTCCATTCCTTCACTGGCATTTGGGCCTGCTTCTTTGGGATTCCAGCTCGTACGGAAGATGGCCTGAGGCATCCAGCATCATGAACTAAACAGCTACTGGATTCTTGGATCTTCTGTTGGTAGACAGCCATTGTTGGACTAGCTGGACCACAGCCTGTTAAACATTCTAATCCCTCCCCCCCCCCCAGTTTATATATATGTGTGTGTTCTATAAATTCTGTTATTCCACAGAAATCACTAACACAGGTCCCAAGCTGCCTTCCAGTCCTGAACCGTTTCCCACCTTCCCTACCCACACTGTGCACCCTCAAATCCTGTCACCACATTGGTCATTTACTACCGACCTGACTCTGCATTGTCCCCTGTTCTTTTGTTCATTCCGTCCTCTTTGCGTAGGCCTCCTCCTCCTTTTCTAGATTGTTTATTGATGCCCTAAGACCCTCAGTCCTGCCTCCCTGAAAGCTCTTCTTGCACGTAGTAACTGGAGTTTTTCTGCCTCAGCCTTCCTTGTGTGACTGTCCTCACACAGGAGTTCAGTAAATATTTATTGACTGCAGTGGAAAGTATTTCTTGTCATCAGCTGGCCCCCAGTCTCTTGGAAATGTGGCCTGCCTCAAGGTTTCTTCCTGTTTGAACAATCAACTGGGGTGAGGGGGCTCTGCTCTCCAGGCCAGGGATGTGTGCCTTCTACCCCATTCTCAGTCATTCTGGTTAATGTTTAACTTGAGTGTCTTTGCTTTCTGTAGAGCAGAGAACAGGTGGTGTGGCTGGGGATGCAAAAGGGCAAGGCCCGGAAGAAAACATACCCGCTCCATTTTGACTTAACACGAAAACTGACCATCTGGGAGCTGGAGTGATGACTTAGCAGTTAAGAGCACCCCTGCTTTTGCAGAGAGCCTGGTTTCGGTTTCTGGCACCTCCATGGTGGCTCTGAACTAACTGCAGTGACACCAGTTCCAGGGGACCTGATGCCTTCCAGCCTCTGCAGGCACTAAGCGTGTATGTGATGCACCTACACACATGTGGGAATACACACATAAAATAAATTAAATCTTAAAACATTATCATTTGCCTGGAGCTTTTAAGGAGAAAATGAAAATGAATATAGAATGTTAAATACAGTCATCCAAAATAGTACAACTGGGCAAAGACCAGAAGGGTTACTTTAATCATTGGTCTGGGCCATGAGAGGAGTGGGGGTCAGGGGAAGACAAGGGAGAGAGGACCTAGAGAACAAAGAGAGAACCAACAGAGCGCATGGCCTAAATGGCAGGTCCTAAAGAAACAGCTAGCTGTGGTGTCCATTAGCATACCAAAGCACCCACCGGCCTCCAGGCTCACTCAGCTTCTCTCAGCTCTTCTCACCCTGCCCCCTGCCCTAAACCTCTCCAGACCACTGGCTTCACTCCTCCCCCACTCCCCCAGCTTCTCATTCCTATATAACCCAGCCATTTCAGTCAAGCTCGCTCTTGGTTCTCTCTTTGTTCTATTGGTTTTCTCCCCACCTCCACTCCTCTCATGGCCTGGTTCAGTCTGCTTTTGTTCAGTCAACTGCTTTCTTTCCCTGCTCTGGATTCTTCCAGATGCCTCTGGCTGTGCTCTCTCTCATATCCACAATCAAAACCTCCTCTTCAACTGTACCTCATTCCCTACAGTCAAAGCTTGGTAACATGCTGGCCTCTGGGAAGACTCCACCTTTCTTAAGCTTCCATCACCTTCACAACCAACACCATGGTGTTGGTGGCTTTCTGTTGAATCCTGGAGAAAGCCATGAATGTATCAACTTCAAATCAAGGTGGTCTCTCCAGAACTCTCCTTTCTCTTCAGCCGTGGCCATCTTGGTGCAAGCCCTCCTTCCAGGCAGATATCCTCTTTACAGATGTTGAACAGTCTTGAAGGAAGGCCCACTCACTGCTGGCTCTTGAGGACTATGTGGTGGTTTGAATGAGAATGGTCCCCATAGGCTCATGTGTTTGAATGCTTATTTCCTAGGGTGTGGAACTGTTTGGGAAGGATTAGGAGGTGTGGCCTCATTGGAGTGGGTGTGGTCTTGTTGGAGCAGGTGTGTCATTGGCTTTGAAGTTTCAAAAATCCACATCAGACCCAGTCTCTTTTTTTCTCTGCCTGCTGTCTGTGGATCAGGATGGAAAGCTCTCAGCTACTACTCCAGAGCCATGCCTGCCTTCATCCCACCATGATGATCATGATCTAATTCTCTAAAACTCAAAGCAAACCTATAATAAAATGCTTTCTTTCATAAGTGTTGCCTTGGTCATGTTGTCTCTTTACAACAATAGAAGAGTAGTAGGAAGGTGGTTCCCATCCAGCATCCATTATGCTCCCCCCTGTAATAGCCATCACATCTCCAGGAAGCCTGCTCTGGTGCTCCTGGGCCATGCAAGTATCTCTTGAGTACCTAGTCCTTTGTGGACACCAGACTCTCCAGACTTATGTTATTTCTCATGTATTCATATGTTTATTTAGCTTTTTACACAGACTCTAAACTATAGTCAAAACAGGACTGTTCTAGGTCTGAATAGCCCTGGGACTACCCACAAGAATAACGGTCACCAAAAGTTCTCACCGTTAGCTCCTCAAACCTATATTTGCAGTCATCATGGTCCAGAGGCCATGGCCTCCTGCACAACCCCACTGGTCACTCAAGGCTTAGCCAAATAACACAGATAGAGACCCTTCATATACTGCAGGAGAGCCCACTTTGGGGACAGTATCCCCAGTGCTATAGACTGGCTTCTGTTCATAAGATAGGCTTCTTTTCTATCCCTGAGAATGCAGAACAATAAGAATGAGCAGGTGACGGCTTGAGTCTCAGCAGAGAGGGTCAACCCCTCCCAACCTGCTTTCCTGAGTCATCTGCACACCTGCCTGCCTCCCTCTCAGCTGCCATTATCCTGTGTCTCAGCTTGCTTCCTCGCCCTCTCCCAAGATGCAGGGCAGAGCCAAGGCAGCAGTAGCCTTTGCCAATTTGCTGCCTGACTGGCAGAGACAGGGGTGCTAGGTCACCCTAGAACCCAGGCTCTGGGGCATCCTTCCGTCCTCTGGACCTCAGTTTCTCCCATCCGATGTGCAAGATAATTGGATCAGAGAATCGGGGACGTCCTCTGATGCAGCAGTCTTGGGTACGGTGAGAAGCACTCTTTCCAACTTGGTGTGTGAACTCTGACAAAAAAGAGAGCTTAAAATAGCGTTTCTCAGCCACGATATCAGAGGACTCATTCTTGTGTGTCCAACAGATCGTGATTAAGCGGGTTGGAAGGTGTCTCTAAGCCTGAATTTCTATCAAGCTCCCAGACAGTGCTCGATTCCTGCCAGCCCCGTTTATGTCCTGGGAAGTGAAAAGCCGATTCACATGACCCAACCACAGACCCAGAAACTGCAGGGTGTCTCCCAGCAATCCGCGCCTGATGCTAGCCTCCAAGTCGTTGGAGTGCAGCTCAAGTTCAGAACTACTGCTCCAGAACAGCTGTTTCTGGATTTGGCTGTGGACTGGAAATTCCTGCAGGGTTTTTGAAGCCCTGGTGCCTGAGTCCAGATCCCATATTCAAATTTAATAATCACGAGGTACCAACGAGGCATCAGGATTTTTAAACACTCTTTAGGTAATCCGAATGTGCATGAGATGTAGTGAAGACGCTGGCTTCCAGGCGATTCCTCCAGCTTTGAAAAGCGCGTTTCCTAAAACGGCCATGAGGGGGCGCTGCGGCACCGCGTTCTGGAGCGCTCGCTGGTCCGGGCTGCGGAGGCGGCGGCTTCGCCTGGGGCGCGCACCTCCGGGAGCGGCTCCTGGCCGAGGCCTGCCCTGCGCCTGCATCTGCACCTAATTAATGCTGGCGGCTGCCTAGCCACGCTTGACGTTAGTGATTTGCTGGTTCTGGGGGAACGCCTGCGGCCGCTCAGCACAGGTTGCTTCACTCCACCAGCTTTGCTCGCCGCCTCCTCTAGGCTCACATCTGGGGCTGCGCCCTGACACTTGTTGCCCAACTTCACTTGTCCGGTTCCGAGGATCCCAACAAGTTTCTCAAGCCAACGGCCCTGCTGGTCGGCTGCAGAAGCCAGCTCGCGCATTTCCCTTTCGTGGTTACTCTCTCTGCCTTCTGGCTGAGCTCCGTGGGTCTTAATAATAATGGTTCTCACACACAGGGTTTGCCCTGATTTTTGTGACATGGAAAGCAGGACCGTTTGTAAGGGACTTTCGCTGTCTTTGCGGGTGGGGAGCAGAAGGTAGCTTCTGGGTTTTGATGGCACTTACATTATTTTTTCAAAGGATTCTATTTTTAGGGATGGAGCCTTATCCTGGAAAGGAGACTCCCTTGTTCATCTTCTTAGCTGACCGGAGACATCACCCCCACCAGCTCCTCATTCCCAGGCAGCTGGCAGGGAGCCAGTTCAGTTCAAGGGAAACTGAGGCCAAAGAGGCTCCGAAGAAACTGCTGAGAGTCACATAGCTGATTCCTGGCAGATGCCTTTTCTACGGAATTGTTCAAAAGCTCTCCCTAGGGCCAGCAGACACTTCCCAGCAGCGAGGC